CCAAAAGGTGATCGATTTTCTCGCTAGCACGACGATGCTGCTCCTTGACCGCCGTCGCCTGCTCGTCGGTGGCTGGCGGCTCCTGGTCAGGACCGCCGTCCACTTTCTTAATAAACGTCGGAGTAGGCGTCGATGTGGGCGTCTTGCTCTTTCCGCCCTTGGACTTCTTAGCCATTACTCTAGTGAACAACGGCGCTTGATGCTCAAAGTGGAATCTTTTGTGAATGAGAAAAAACTTTCAGGAAGAAAACAATACCGTGGAGCACCAAAATACAAGAAACAATCAAGGAATTTGTATGCTGAGCCAACTTCAACTTCCTCGATTGACGATCCTACACGAACTTGTAGGCGCATTCGATGAGCTGGTGCGCCGTGATGTTGCTCTCGCCCGTGCGGTTGAGCTCCTCCTTGGCCATCTCCGCCACCAACAGCAGCTTCTTGACCGATATCGGGCGGTCCGACAGCAGCGTCAGCACCTCGTCCTTCTGGTCGTCCGCCACGGGAAGCCCCGTGTGCGTCAGGACAACGTCGAGCTCGTCCTTCTGCGTGAGCTGCGGCACCTCCAGACACAGATCGAACACGTCGCTCAGCTCCACCGCCTGCATGGCGGCAATGTTGGATGTGACGCCGATCACCACGAGTTTGCGACCAGCCACGGGAACAGGGTTGCGCACCAGCACCATCAAAGCCTGCAGCACCAGGTTCGAAAAGCGGGGGCCCAGACCTGACAAAAGCAATTTAGACACGTGACACTCACTCTGTCATGACAATCGCTCTTACCAACGTAGTCCATGAGACGCTCGATGTCGTCCAGAATGATGATGCTGAGTGGAGATCGATAGGCCTCCTCGAACAGGTTGTAGATGTACGAGCACTTGCCGCTCTCGGCGCGCGAGATAAGCTCCGACGCCTTCACCATGCGCACCAACGGGAACTCGCTAGCAACAGCGCAGTACGTCGCCAGCGCAGTCTTTCCGGCGCCGCGCTCGCCGTGCAGCAGTACCGACATCAACGGCGTCTTGTCGTTCGAGCGGACTTGCTCAATCACACGGGACAGAGCCTCACGCACATCCGTAAACGAGCTGCCGTACGGGATCAGTCCGTTCTTGTAGAACAGCGCCAGCTGATCGCTGGGGGCGCCGAACTTGGGCTTCACTTCCTCCAGTGCCAGGGCGAAATCCTCCATCGAGATTTCCGGGTTAAAGTTGGCAATAGCGTGCATGGTCCGCCCATCAGTACCACGTGACAGAGCGTGCGCTGTGGCAGCACGCACCAAACCTTCGATTTCAGCACCGGAGAAGTTCTTGGTGCGTTGAACGAGGTTTTTGTAGTCCGGGTCGTCGCTCACGAACTTAGTCGGGTCCAGGCAGTTGTCCAGGTCAGCGATAACCTTCGGATGCAGCGCCCCTTTCTCACGGGCGCGGTCTGTGTGAATCTTAAGAATCTGAGCGCGGCCCTTTTCGTCCGGTAGATTAATCTCAATCTGCACTTCGAGACGACCCGGACGCATCAGAGCTTCATCAAGCATATCCTGATCAAATAAAAAAAGGTCACAGATTATAAAACGACAGCACAAGTAATTCTCACTGGAGCTCGTACCTTTCGGTTCGTCATGCCGATGACCAAGACGTTGTTCAGACTGTCCACACCGTCGATTTGGGTCAGCAGCTGGTTCACGACACTGTCACCGACGCCTGTGCCATCACGGCTTGAGCCACGCTGCTTACAGATAGCGTCAATTTCATCAAAGATGATAATGTGCACGTCGCTCTCGTCTCCGAGCTCTTCCTGGTCTTTGCGTGCGTCAGAAAAGAGCTCACGGATCTTGCGTTCGGATTCACCCACAAACTTGTCGAGGATTTCAGGGCCGTTGACCACCTTGGGCTCTTTGGCAGTCAGCGCCTGCGAGATCTTTCGAGCGATCAACGTTTTACCGCAACCAGGCGGCCCGAAGAGCAGCATACCGCGCACGTGTTGAATACCGAGCTTCTGGATGACATCTGTCGGGAATAATCGCGAGGCGAAGGCACGACGGAAGATGTCATTAAATTCCTTGTCCAGACCTCCGATACCGAGCTTGGAGAAGTCGAAATCCGGCTTAAATACCGTGCGCGTCATGCCGCTGGACTGGTTAGTAAGGCGGATGGGGGCGTCCTTCCCCTTGGTGAAGTTGATGATGGCTCCATGGAGATAGGCACCGACACGTGGGGCGAAGGAGTCGAGATTGCCATTGTCCCCGTCCACTGTGTCGATGTTGATGCACTGCAGACGCAGAGGGAGACCTTCGCACCTGACTGCCATGAGTTGCCCCACAGCGAAGACCTGATGCGTGTATTCCGCCTCAAAGACGTCCTTGAGTAGACTACAGTCTACGACTCGCATTTCGTTGCCCTGTGCACGTGTGAGAACCTGCTGGATCTCGAAGGTGACTGTACTGAGGACGCCCTTAGCAGCACTCGAAGGAGCATATACCGAGACCTCGCAAGCCTGATTGAGGGGCAGCCCCACACACATACGTTGCATAGTACCCACAGCCACACTTCCCGGTTGAATTTCCTTGTGGGGCTTGGCAGCCATGACGAACTTGCGGTTAATCCAGACATTGAGACCGTGTGCACGTAGATCCTCTTTTGTAACGACTCCCGGGGGTGTCTGCTTGACCAACGACATGAAGTCGTCCAGGTGCACGTACACGCAGTTGGTGAACGCATACGAGTTGCCAGGGAGGCCTACTACAGCCGCCTCGAACGCCATCTTGGTCAAAGCTTAGTGAAGACGTGGCAATTTGTAGTGTGTCTGTTATCCTGAATCTATTTAGTGAAAGAAACTCCTATTTTACACCCAATCAGCGAATTTAGACGTATCACCTTTATTTAGATCCAGCCAATAGCAAGCGACCAGATCACGTCAAAATGCGGTAACCTACAGCTTCAACTCGAATGAACTCGAGGCATCAACCTTGAGTCCCTTGCTGAGCAAAAACGCGTCCTGGTTAGGCGCACGGCCCAAGAAGTCCTTCAGCATGACGCTGGCGTCTACCGAACCGCCGCGCGCGAGGATGAGCTCACGGTACGCCAGTCCCGTCTTGGGGTTCATCAGTCCTTCCTTCTTGAACCGAGACACGAACATGTCCATGGAGAAGACCTCGCTCCACATGTAGCCGTAGTACTGTGCGTCGTATCCGCCAGCCAAGTGGCCGAAGGATCCTGCAAAGTTCGTCTCGGGCGTCATGTCGATGAGCATAATCTCGGTCTGCAGTTGTTTGAGGAGCTGCGCCGTGTTCGCCTTTGGCTTCGAGTGGATGGTCTGGTCGAAGATGGCGAAGAGCAGCTGGCGCTTGTTTAGCAGACCAGTGTTAACATTCTTTGTGGAGATCAGGCGAGTGATCAGGTCGTCCGAGAGTTTCTACAGTCAGCAACAGCACCAAGTTAGAGGAAATGAAGGCGAAATCCCCATCCAAATAGACGCACCTCGCCAGTCTCGTAGTGCGAGGACAGACGCTGCAGCGGCTCCTTCTCCCAGCACCAGTTCTCCAGCATCTGACTCGGAGCTTCCACAAAGTCACGCTCCACGCGTGTACCAGCGAAGCGAGGAATATCCACTTCTGAGCACAAGCAGTGCATCACGTGGCCGAACTCGTGGAAGTACGTAACGACCTCCTGATGGCCTAACAGTGACGGCTTCGACTTGGTCGGGGCGTTGAAGTTGGCCACCATAGCGGCAGCGGGGTACTATTGTTATCAATCACAATAACGAGTTAAATTACTGGTAAAAAACGGTTAACAATGTTAGTTAACGCACCTCGCGGACGCCAGCAGAGTTGATGCAGCTCTGCTGCAGCGTGAAGCAGGCAGCGTGGCCATACTTACCAGCGCGGGGGAACAAGTCTAGATAGAAGTGACCAACGAGGTTGCCGGCCTTACCCGGGCGTGCATCGTAGACAGCGAACATACGAACATCCTTGTGCCACACGTGGGGCTGCGAAATTTCCACAAACTTCAAGCTCAACAGCTCTTGGTACATCGACAGCAATTCCGTCGTCACGTGGGTAAGCGGGAAGTACTCACGAAGCTTTTCCGAGTCGATAGAGCAGTGTTTCTTGACGTATTGGTCCATATAGAAGCGGAAGTCCCACATATTGATCTTGCCGTCAAACTTCCATTCGTTTTGTTCGCAATCGGCCTCCTTCAGCTTCAACAAGTCGTCCAAATCTTTCTTAGCAAGAGGGACCAGTTTGTTGTCCAGATCGCTCAAGAACTTCTTCACATTTGCGGGGGTTTCAGCCATCCTATTGCCAAAAACGAGATGTCAGAGGATTACAACGCCCAAAGCTGCTCCTTCAAGTGATACTTTCTCACCTTTGCTCCAGAACGTAAGCAGCGTGGTTCTCGTATCCCAGCGCCAGTGCCACTTTGTGACGGATCTCCAGCATCTCCTCGAGGATGGCAACGTTCGTGGAAATGCAGCGGCGGTTGAAGGCGTACTCCACAGCCTTGCGAGTCGACTCCACGGTGCACGTGTTGAGGATCGGGAACACTGTCGGGTACGAGAGAGCAATCTTCGAATGACGAGGCAAATCTTCGCGTTAGAATATACAAGAAGGAAAATCTGCAGATATGGCAACTTCTCACCTTGTATTTGCCATCGTCGCCCTTCTCGAGTGCAGCGATGAAATCGTTGCTAAGTCCCTTGAGCTCATCATGCAAAAATTGGACCTCGATTGTTTCCTCCGAGAGATTCTGCTGGAACTGGATACCGAGCTTGGACAACTTCTGCTTCCAGGCCTGTACCTCCTTCTGCTTCTCCCCCGGCAACTGCAGTCCGTTGCGCTCAAAGTCCTGCACTAGGCGGTGTACGTAGCGCTGCGTGACCGTGTTTAGTTTCTGCGAGCATCAAAAGCAAAAAAGAGCACAAAAGTTATCAGTACGCAGCCTCTAGAGCCAAGTTCGCTCTGTTCCCTTCGCACCTGGTAGGCTGCACTTTTGTAGAGCGTGTTAACCGCCCTGTACACATCTGCACGCATGCTGCGCTGCACGGAAAAGTCCTCGATGACCTCGTCCGCCTTAGTGCAGGCATCTCGCGTCTCCTTATCGGCCGCCACCTGTCCGAGGAACGTCACGTTGGTCACACGGCTGAGCATCTCGTGGTCCAGATCGATGATTTTCTGCGCTGTGCTCTCGAACGTCACTGCGGACGGAGATAGTGCCGCGATTTCGTCGTCTACGCGCTTCATCTGGGCCAGGATACGCTCCGTCTCGGCCTCAATCTCCGCCACACTGAGGTCAAAGCGCAGGTTCGTCAGCTGCTTACGCAACACACGCGTGCGTTGCTGTTTCTTGCTGCGTGCCCACAACGCCAAACCGGCGAGCGCCACAGCGCATGCGGCCACGGCCAGTGCGTTCTTCTGCTTGTCAGTCGCCATCGTCGATCACTTCGAGCGGATCTTCAAATGAGGGGCAGAGTGGGGCAAAATGGAACGAACAGAAAAGAGTGCCTTACAAAAGGCAATATATTCAGCACGAAAGGGGACATTATTGGCTGGACAGCTGCCAATCAAAGTTGACGAAGCATCCACGTCAAGTTTCGACTTTTGCTGGACGACTACCAAGATCAAACGTGCTACGGCTCACATCCTGGCTTCGTCCGAGAGCTTGGCAGCTGCATCCTCATCGATGAACCAGTAGACGATGCCATCCGTGGGCTTGACGTTGGCGGCGGGAAGCGGGGGCGTGCGCTTCTCGACGCCGACCATATGCGGGATCAACTCGGCTTTGCCAGCACCAGTAGCCACGAACGCAACCTGCGTAAAGCAAGGAAATAAGCAGTTGAAAAAGTGAAAAGACTGCAGAGGTGGCGTACGTTGGCGGCGTTGTTGACGACTGGGTAGGTGAGTGTGATTCGCTGCGGAGGTGGCTTGGGTGAGTCTTCAATGGACGCTACGAACAGCGTCTTCTCCTCCAGAAGAGGGTGACCCGGGAAGAGCGAGCACGTGTGACCGTCTGGGCCCATTCCCAGCAAGATCAGGTCGAAGCGAGGAAGCTGTAGACAGCATCGTTAGGCTTCGTGATTAAAACTAACACAGTCAAGCACATTGAACGACAATACCACTTCGCTACCCCAAACTTCGGCCAGCTTCTTGGTGTAGTCTACCGCCATGGCTTCTGGCGTCAAGGAGGCATCGATGGTGTAGATCTGACTTGCTGGCACGGGGATCTACACGCATAAATTACAAAGATAAGTAAACTGGCCGGTAACAGGTCGACTGTATCGCGTCGCTTACGAAGTCGAAGAGTGCCGCCTTGCAGGCCTTGTAGTTGCTGTCGTCGTGGTCCAGCGGCACGCAGCGCTCGTCCGCAAAATAGATGGACCACTTAGAAAAGTCGACATCGCCCTTGATGGCTTGCAGACCTTTGTTCAGGATCTACAGCATGGTCATCAGCAACAGCCATTTCAAACGATCTCATTGTGCACTCACTTTGGGCAGCGAGCCACCCGATAGCGCCACCGTGAAGCGGCCGTGTGTGGCGATGGCCTGCTTGCTCAAGTCGAAGATGAGCTGGCCGACGGCGGCTCCGACCTCGTCGGTAGTGCTGGACACACGGAGAACCATCGTTTGTTTGTTAGGAAGTGAGAGCAAATGTGCGATGACAAGTAGGGCAGCTCCAAGCAGAGGCGGGCGCATAACTGTGCACGTAATCATTGGCTAAAAATACGTGTCACGTATGTTTTTTGAGAGAATCTTCAAGAAAGTATCTTTTGACAGCGATGCAATTCCGCCGTCTTGCTGTGCTCGCACTTGTTAGCGAGGTGGCGGCGATCGACTACCCTGGCGGCTGGTTACCAGACAGCCAGCAATGCGTGGATATATGTGCACGCGCGTCGCCGATCCCGGTCTGCCCGACGCATGACCCGTCGTGCCTCGCCAAGAAGCAACGCCCCGGAGACTACGACTTTCTTCTATTGGAACAACTCTTCCTTCCGCAGTTTTGCCGTGATCTGCTGGTAGGCGTGGACCTCACCATATCGCACCGAAATGTGAACAAGTATCCACATGGCATCATGTGTGAGCCTTCCAAGGCTGTCAGCAAACTCTCCATCCACGGCCTTTGGCCCAACTACTTCACCGGCTTCTCTGCTTGCTGCAACGTGAGCGACACCATCCGCAATCAGCCGTTCGACGCGCTTGGCTTTGCTTCAGAGTCGCCGGAGCTGCTGAGACAGATGGACGAGCTTTGGGTAGACCCCACGCAGCCATCGAGCTTTCATACCCTGTGCGAGCTATACAATCACGAGTTCCAGAAGCATGGACTGTGCTACGCTGCCAATGGTGGGACAAACTTTGACGCCAGTGCACGAGAATACTTTAGGGCAGCAATGCGCGCTGCTGCTGTCAATAAGGAGGCCACTGACACGATAAACAAATGGGCCATGGCGAGTGATCCGAAGACGACATTGGCTGCTATAACGGCGCTTTATAAGACACGGGTGCAGGTTCTGTGCTCGGCAATAGCACCACTCGATGGCAGCAATGGAGGCGGGGGTGGTAATTCTCTAGCCGCCATCCACGTGTGTTTCAGCAAACCAAACAATACTTCGGCCTCTCTGACCCCAATTGACTGCAAGGATGCGTCTTCGACCGCTGTCTTTATTCCTTGCAACCCTGGAATTCCCATCACGCTATCGAAGTATTCTCCACCTTCGACAGTGCTGCCGGCTGCTGTGTACGCACTGTAGAGTGGCTCTATCGAGGTGTTCTTAACATTTTGCGTGTAAAATTATTAATACTTCTAAATACTACTAGTAGTAGGCCACAGGCTTTAAAAGTGAATTTTTCGTCAGTTTTGTGCATGTACCTTAAAATAAAAGTGAATTTTTCGTCAGTTTTGTGCATGTACCTTATATAGCAGTATTTGCTCACGATACAACGCTATCTGGCGCAAACAAAACAGTTTCAAATTTAAAACGCCATAATAATTCTAAGCTGCAATATTTTTGCATACAGTATAGCTCAATCACTTTTAAAATAACTAGGCTGCAGCTGTAATATTCAAGTATACACAACAGCGTGGTATCATTTTGAGAAATATGCATCTGAAGCTAGTGCGACATCGTATTATCTATAACAGTTCTAGATTTCGCGAAATCCTGGCCATTTAATTTGGAAAAAAATCAAAGCACAGAGAGGAAGTTCATTTCACTTGTCAATTACCAAGATGCCCAGTACAGCCAGCCAAGTGTTCGACCGCCTTAACCGACAGTGGGAGGACGAGACCTCCAGCCTCGTTGTTAGCCACGAGAAATATGGCGATGTCGCTCGCCATATAGAGGAAGGAGCCTCCGATTCTGGCTCACCTTTTTGTCTGAGTATATTGCGGCAGGTGGTGATAGTGCGCTAAAGGGCATGACCAACTTCTCTGCGCCCGAGCTGGATGCGCTTTGGGCTCTTGTGGAATCTGCGGTGACGATTACATGGACACAAGGTCGTGGGCGTAAACCGTCTGTGTCGGGGAAAGACGCAATGTTCATTACCCTGACCGTGTTGAAGCATTTTGACACATGGCAGAAGCAAGCGATCGATTTCAGCATCGGGATTTTGATGCTGGAGAAAATGGTTCACCGTGTCATTCGGACAATTGAGCCCGTGCTGTACTCCCAGATAATCAAGCGCGTAAGGATGTCCGAGCAGATGGAAGCTGGAAACACCTTTACAAACTATCCACATGCTCTCTACGCTACTGACGTCAAGTTCCAGCCAGCATATCAGCCTAGCGGTCGCTTTGCAGAACAGAAGGTCTACTTCTCCGCTAAGCACAAGCTGTATGGGTTCACGATTGAGTGCTCTGTGACATCACCAGGTGTCGCTGTTGATGTTTCAGATCATTCTCTTGGATCAACGTCGGATCTGATGATGATGCTCGACAGGCTCACGATTCATCGTCAGATGCTGCGCAAGGAGGACGTGACAGCTGCTGAAATGGGAGCTGACCCAACGCAGCTTCCACATATGTGGGCCGTGCTAGTAGACAAGGGTTACCAGGGTGCCGGGTGGGTGCTTCGAGCGATCCAGCCAAAGAAACAACTGCGCGGAGGCACGCTTGACCGTGACGATATTTCCCGCAACCGTGCAATTTCTTCAGATCGCGTTCTGGTTGAGAACTATTTTGGCCGGATGTGTATGCTGTGGAAAGCTACCTATGTGACCTTTAAGTGGAACGAGAACCGTTTTGATGGTGTTGCTCGGCTATGTGTGGCGCTGACCAACTTCAATGTAGGTTTGCGAGCTCGCGACAGCGAACACTACGATATGATGCTGTCCAAGTATCAGTCAATGGGCGAGCGTGTTCGCACCCTGCGTGCTAGAGCCTAGCATCTATATTGGGCTCGGCAACAGCAGCGCTCGCGCCCTTGACCATATAGCGTTCGCTCTCGCCTATCCACATCTCAGCGCGAGACCTAATACGAATCGGACGACTCCCTAAAGCATGCTTTGTAAGGCACCTTTTCCCGGTCTTATTCTGCTTGATCTTAGCTTCTTAAGACTAAAGACGCTAAATAGATTACTGTTTGCTATAACTCTACGTTTGACTTTCCAACTTGTCGTCAAAATGGATGGAATCAGGCTCCGTGCAGCTAGAAAGGATTAGGCAGCAACTTCAAAGCGGTAAGAAACACGGAAGTCGCTTAATGCCAGTTGCCCACTAATACCACACCACGCGCCGTCTTAAACTCCACAATGCACTACAGGGGTATGCGTGTGACGTTCACAGTACTTCGGCCCGTCACCCCCCTGGCCGATTGATGGCAAGTTGACAAGTGAGGAAGATGAAGTGTCTAGCTGCTGTATTTGCACTTGTAGAGTACCTGATAGTGTATAGGCAGAACCCAGGTGTCGTTGAAATAGACCGACTCTTGGGTAGAAGCCTCCATAATTAAATTTTTGGGCCACAAATGTAGCCAACTGTTTTTCATAGGATCGTACTTATCCCAGAAGTAACGGCCTGAACCATGAGATGCGAATATATAAAAAAACAGCAGGGTAAATGCGAAAAACAAGCATGTGCTTTTCCAAAAATCATGTTTTCCGAAAGAAGGCATGGAATTCGCATAAAATTAGATTTTATGCGAAATTAGGCACCATACGCTAAGACACACTTTTTGAGACTGCTATCTATTCTAGCAAAGTATTCTCCACCTTCGACAGTGCTGCCGGCTGCTGTGTCCACACTGTACAGTGGCTCTATCGAGGTTTTCTTAACATTTTGCGTGTAAAATTATTAATACTTCTAAATGTGCAAGCACAAGAAAGCTCAATTCTGGCCACAAAATTGTGTATTCTTTAGTTGAAACTTAAGAAATAAAATTATGAGAGAGTGATAGAAATAGAGCCATAGTAGTATTTACAGAACAGTATTGTGCTTTCGGCCTAAATTTGCCTTCTTCGGGCGATTGGTTGAATACCACATCGTATTCGCACGCTGCTTTGATTGGTCAAAAGAAGTTTTTATCGCTTCTTTTGGGTTTCCGACAGGTTCGTACGAAGGCAGTACTTTCCTCCCGTTGTTTCGGTGCGCTAATTATTAACGTTTTACGTGTATTTGCAACCGATTTATCCATTGGAATACCTCATATAACAGTGGCCCCCTCGAAGACGGAAGAAGCTGTCACGCGACAGCACGCTCACCCCAACACAGTTTTCCACTGCCTCTACGGGTTTTACTGCCTTGGATATTTGCGTGAGCAGCTTGCTCACCTATACCACAATACATTGAGGACCATCGTTAATTGAATATACGTGTACGAGCGAACAGGGACTTACCAGCGGGCAAACGCTAGCGCTACAAGAAAATTCACGGCGGATCATTGGCGGTGGCTGTGCAACTACTACGCGGACTACCCTTTGGCTTCCTTGGATGAAGCTTGTGATGCATTCGTGCACGCGCATCAAACCAGCATTTCAACATCATCTGTGTGGCAAATTATTCACGACGAAGGCCTCACGAGGAAAGTTCTCGAGTGGCGAGCAATGCATATTAAAGCGCTGGACGTGTTTAGGTTTGTTAAGGAGCTCAGCCACGTCAACTGGTTCTACATCAACGTTGTCTTTCTTGACGAAGTATCATTCGACAGCCGTGACATGATACGAAAACGGGGGTATTCACTTAGAGGGCAGACCATCGCAATCCGTGGTGATTTCCAGCGTAAGCCACGAGTCTCGGTGCTGGTATTTCTGGGGGTCACCGGCATCATCGATAACTACAAGACTGATAGGACCTTTGATCGTCTTCAGTTCTTCACATGCTGCCATGAGTTTGCGTACTTAGCTCGCGGACATGTACGCCATTACCCTGGTTCAAATTTCGTTTGGATCATGGACGGTGCGTCGATTCATCATGATCCGATCATTCAGTTTCTTCGGAGCATTGGCATTGTCCCGATTTTTCTACCGGCTTACAGCCCATTCTTCGACCCTATTGAGTTCATGTTTGGGTACATCAAGCAGGCGTTCAAGCGGTATTACAATGAGTTGAGCGGCAACGATTTCTTGCCTTTGGTAGCTGAAATGTTTAAGCGATATGTAGGATTTGACATGTCTAGAGATTTTAACCATTGTGGTTGGAAGCTGCAGGGTTATATTTACCCCTCTGGGCCAATGTCAAAGGAGATGCGGCAAACTGAAAATTGTGGGAGCAGCAGAGTTTCTGCGCGCGAGGAAGATGAACCATTAGATTTTACGACAAGGGAACTAGATGAGTCGGAATGCTAAGCTAAAACAAACAGTTACTGCGAAATTACTCTTGGTGCTCGATGTTTTCAATGTTCTCAATTCTTTGAATCGGGTCATGCACATCGTCAACAGCAGGAACCGGGATATCCCCTAAATACCCCTCGAGATCCACCTTGCGCGCTTCCAACGCGCGTTTTTGGGATCCCAATCGGTACCCGTACGCCTCCCAAGCGTCCTTGAGCTCTTGGTTGTCCGCCAGAGCAATATTAACGGTATCAAGTGCCACACGCGTGGACTTAGTCAAGTGCACAAGGTGTTCGTGGACTTGTCCGTCTGATGGGCTGAGATAACATTCCAGTCTGGAGGGTGGGGGGTCTAGCACAGAAGCATCCCATGTGGAGCGATCCAAGTTGCGCTGCATTTTGTTGGCCCACACTATCCATGTCGAATAGCTACCTTGGTATGTATTGCCCCAGACGTCTTGCAAACGAGTCACCATTTCACCAATTGAGACTTCTGCCTGCAGCACCTGAATGGTCAGTGTGCTGCGGGCGAATACAGGCCTGCATGAACTCATCCAGGATTCGTGCATTCGAAATACTTAAATCGTACTCGTAAATCATCAACGTCACTGTATTCCCGCGTTGATATGCCGTCCAGAACCTCCATAGTTCAGGAGACTTGGCAGCTGGGACCAGACGTCCGTTGGCCTTGAGCTGCATCACACCGCTCCACGCTGATTCTGCAGGTCTTTCAACCGACCACGCATCAGCAGCCTTTGTAGCATGCCCCTTGACATGGCTGTTAAGCTTCTCCCACAGCTTGTGCATGATATCACTAAAGGAGGAACCATTGGCCGCAAAAATGTTCAGTTGCTTGCCTGACGAGTCGCGCTATCCAGCAGTACTTTTGACAATCCCTTGGTCTACCGGTTGCAGACGATGTTGGTCGGTGCTCTCAGGCGAAGTATCTAGAGATACACGCACTCGCGCACTTCTTGAAGCTCCTGGAGTCGGGAATCTTTGCGGCGGGGTCCTCTCACGCAAAGGATATGGAGAAACACGAGCTGTTGACGATGAGGTCGAGGGTAGTGTTCTGCGTGCAGATCGTTGGTGTATCGAGGGAGACACATGGGGCTCTGGGATGCCCTTCTTTTCTGGAGTTGCTGCAATGAAGCTGCCTTCAACGCCCTCCATCATGCTGTCGCCGCCGTCGAGTTGGTGAGCCGCCAGTTCTCACCTTCTGACTCGAATAAATTATTCTATTACGCAGTTTGCGCGATTGCTTCCTGGTTGATTTGAAGAACCGCTCACGGAGATTTTGAGTAGAAACCACAATACCAGTAGTACTGTATCTCAGGACATGCCAACATGCATTTACTGTAGGATAAGCTCTATTGTGCCGGACACCCAGCATCTACTGTAGCTGTAATCTCTCGATCACCATTATTAATAGGAGTATGTCCAGAGCACAATTCTACCATTTATGCGTCAATAGGGTAGGGGTAAACTATTCCCGCTTAATTCTGAAAGTTTTCGGTATTTTACCGGGTCTAATAATAAGATACCATAGTGAAGTCAAGCTTAAACGATACTTATCCGATAATTGCATTGTACCGGAAAGGAGTTTCTAGATACATATTTAAAGGCAGAAGAGAATTACATTAGTACGACGAGGCTTCCCTTGAATCCCTTCCAGTTGTTACGAAGAAGATGAGGGAGGCGCCTCGCGGGTTTGACATGCCTGTTGGCATGGTAGGGCAGGATCTTGCTGCAGTGAAGGTTTTCAAGAAATTCCTGGTATCAACAGATCTAAGCAGTAACGCCCTAGACAAAATGCACTCTTCGTTACCCAATGCAACTAACATGCCGATGCAAAACATTTACTCTTTGCTAACAGCATTTGGGTTTTTTACAGACAAAGAAAAGTGGAAAAGCTAAATGTGCTGCTGATGGAATCCTAGCAAAGGCAACAGCCTTGGGCTACTTCTCTCAAATTGTGAATCTATTACGCGAACGAAACAGTGGATCTCTCTCTGACGCCAAGCGAGTTGCTAAAATTCGAGACAAAATGGCTAGTGCTATCGAAGAACGGAATCTCCGGTCAAATGTGCAGAGCAATGATTTTCCGGGCTGTAATTTATCTGATCCCTGTATGTTGGTGGAACATCTTGTTGTTCATGCTTATGTGGCCACGGGTATTAAGGGTGTTCATGATGCAGCTATGTTAACTATGATGTGGCATACATTTGGACGAGCCATCGATACGTGTTTCGACTGGAAGCAACAGCTTTCGATCTCTGCATCTGGAAAGCTGTTTTCGCATATCGCTCGTTTAAAGACATCAGTTGTCCAGGGTGTATATTATTTACAAGTCCACAGAGAGATGGCAACAGTGCATGTTGCATGCGTTTGGTATGCTATTTGTCTGCTTCGATGAGCCATCCGAATACATCTTCCCACTAGTGTCCCGTTGCGCAGTGTCGGACCTTCCAGGAGGCCACACGTACATGCAAGAATAAGCTGTGATCTTTTGGGAGGGCTTGCAGGACAACATTGAAAAGGAGACCCAGCCTGCACCTAAACGGGAGAGGAAGTGGCCATACATAGCGAGATATATTACCGAAGTCATCCGCGATTGCATCCGAAACATGCCTCCCAATGTGCGCCAGACCGTGACGCCGAACATGAGCAGCCACTCGCTGCGTCGAGGTGCCGCTACGCACGCAAATGCTTCCCCAAAGTTGGCAATCCGGTGGATATCGACAAGATGTGCTTAGCTGTTGGAGTCACTTACGAAGGCTTTTGCCTACATAGGAACAACCACGCGTGAGGATCAAAGTCTTGCAAAAGTACTGGCCGGATACGAGGCTCCAGAGTTACCTGTCTTAACCCCTACTATTGGTGATCTGCAGCAGCGCCTTTCGACAGCGAAGTTTGGGCAGCTCGTAACGCTACGCAATGAATTGATCCGGCACGCTGGGCTCGCCTGACCCCCGGCTAAATGTCGCTGTCGATGTCGTGAATGCTACGTATGCAGCGCTGCTAATTCACATGAACACAGTGTTAGATACCACAACAAATAGAGCTACCACCCTAGCGTACGTGCCACGCTACCTGTACTAGCTGGAGCGAGCTCTCGCCGCCCCAAACGCGCTCTTTGGGTGCTCGATCACAACCGCGACTTGCCGTGAATAGGGCTCCCACATGTCATCTCGTTGGCGCACCATGGACCACGCTCAGCTCAGCCGCACTGCCACTGGAGGCGACTCGCAGCTTGCATCGACCTTGGAGAACATGCTGGCCCAGCTAACGGCGATCAACGACGGAATTGCCCGCGTTGAAGATGCCTTGGCTGCATCATCCGAGCGTCCTACCACTCTTGAAGGTGTTCTGCAACTTAGAGAGGCAACTGCGTCTCCTGTAGCCGCACGCACACTCTCTGTAGCACCTGCAACTGCATCGACACTGGCGGGCAGCTTCCCAAACTGGTACACAAACAACATTTGGGAGACAGTGAAAGGTATAAAGGAGCAGAACAAACGTGCAGAAGCAAAAGCGGCAGTAAACATAATGGTTGTACTGTACCAGAAGCTGTTCAACATTGCTGCGCCACCGTCACGAGCCGACCCCACTGCGTACGAGGCTTGGAAGCACTTATGGGAATTGGCGATTCAAATGGATGCAGCCGCAAACGAGAGGCGCCATGCATTCGACCACAAAAAGTCAACCCACAAGACATCGTCGGTGCGTAAGCGTTGGAGGCAGCTGCGCGCGTCGCATCCCGATGCGTACAGGACACTTGGTGCTTAATTCCTTCCGCAAAAACTAAGCGGCGCTGCTTTGATGCATGTGCTCCATCGTCACATTTGTGGGCAGCAGTAGACCTAGCATAACACACAGCAGCACGCATTCCTACATACAAATACACAGCACAGCACAACACATAGCACATTACACACAGGTTGCCCCCGGCTGGGTTTGAACCAGCGGCCTGGAGGCATTGTCTCCCGCTCTACTGCTGAGCTACGGGGGTGTGACGATGTGGGGGGATTGTACTTGACCTTCGGCACTTGAGCGGTCCGCGCTGAAAAAGCAGAATGAAGGGAGGAGAAGACTGTCGCAAAGCGAGCCAACGATTTGTTTCCAATTCATTGAATTGTAATTTAGACCTATCCACTGTCATCCAGAATAAATAATCTGGCCGGATTACATCCAGCATGACTCAGTCATTCCCTATGGCGACCTTCCTGACTGGTGTCCAGAATCTGCCAATTACTGCATCAGCATACAGCAAATCATTTGACTTGACTTCTGTAATGAGATGACCTTGTGAGAGTCGCAATAAGACACAATCAACGATTAGAGGTCACAGCAGAAAACGGACCAGCCGCGCATTCGCTTGGCTGGGCGCCCCTTCGCGCCCCCGCGGATTGCTACGCTCGCGATATAAAAATTAAATATCCTGGAGAGTGCAATGCGCGGATCGCTGGTGAGCTCCACGCTGGGCCCGCCTCGCATCCGCTCACCTCAGTTGGTGCCGCGGCTATGGCACCCACGTTGCCCCGCCCCGTGTGTGTTTGTACCGTATGCTGTGGTTTTAGTTACTAATACAATTTTCTAATAATTTTGTAGTATTGTAGTAGCTTCTGAAAACATGTACTAGTTTTGTGCTTTGCAAAGCTTTTGTCGGTAATCACTAGAGTGCCTGCTCGATTTGTAATAAACTGAGGTCATTTTATATATCGGGGTTATAAAAAGGGATACATCGATTGAGTTAGAGTGGCTAATAAATCAAGCGCTCGTGGTCGATTTTCGACAAATCGACATCGAAATCATTTAAAACGACCCTTTTTGCATTTTTGAAACGCAAATCGAGTGCAAACATAATAATTCCATGCATTTATCAGTTTTACGCCTGGTTATATGCGCCAACCATGCTCGATCTAGGCCATAAAACCGAGCGACATTCCATCTGCAAGCACAATACATGCCTCAAAATAAACACCAGGGATGCCCAAAAATGGATACTCACAAAAGTAAGTTACTATTTCTGCGTAAGTAATTTAGTTTAGGACATGACCTACTTTCAGCCGTTATTTATGTTACCATTTCGTAAAACTAGGTAGTTTATTTCACGGACCTCTTGAGGTCCAACCAAATTGTAAGAATTGTAGAGGTCATTCATTTAGCTAAGCGCAGCCTGAACAGCTCACTTTTAAATATGCATACTCAAATCCAACTCCAACTCCTCTTCTTCGCCAACGCCATGCCTGACAACCTTCTTGCCGCGGCCCCGCCTCAGCCTACCTTCACCCCACGGCAGATTTGCCCCTTCTTTTTTAAGCCGTGCCTCGACGAAGAGGGTGAGCCGACGGACTAAGACCTGCGGCAAGTGCCGCAAGCATACACCCAAGACAGGGTACACCAATTCGTTGTCCCATGCCCGGACCAAGCATCCTAGCTACGAGAGCCATATGCGTGACGCTACCGTCGCTGCAATCGGAACACTGCTGTCGCGGGTTAGTCAGAAAGCGTCAAACCGCTTCGCATGGGTGCGGTAGCTGGTGACAGGCAACCTACCGTTCTCCTTTTGTGAGTCCAAGGAAACCCGTCAGTACGCAATTGGGTTACTTTTCTGTCTCATAATCAGCGATAAATATCTGCATCTCATGTTTAGGTACACCAATTTAAACCAAATTTTAGTGACCACTTTGACATCCTTGATGGAGTCTCTAACGTAGGCTGTGGAGACGATAATCGGTGAGGAGATATGCCAGACACATTTAACCTCATCATCGACGGCTGGACGCACGGTACGAAGCACTACT